TCCTATGCTCTCTCTCTCTCTCTCTCTCTCTCTCTCTCGCAATCGATTCGTGCAAACAAGACATTAAACTTAACATAAAATTTTTCTATACAACGATTAATAAGGCAAATGCAAGCGAACAGCGCCTATGCCTACAGTGCATACCTGTGCTGTTAAATGGACGGACAAAACCTGTGGTGTTGTATATATTCAGGTATACCTTATACTAAATGAATGAATAGAGCCGTAAGCAAGAAGTGGTGTTGAGTTCTATTGACTCGAGAAGTGAGTATTTTTTCTTCAAGAGAGAGAGAGAGAGAGAGAGAGAGAGAATGTCTGCTCTGAAATCAGTCAGCGATATATTAGAGAGTTTGCAGACTTGCGTACATTCACTACAATATTATATACACTATATTCACGACAGAAAACATTTGATGTATATTTTGTTTAAGATTATCAATTGTAGACTGGATTTGGTGTTGCTTTTGGTCGCTCGCCTTCACCACCACTACTACAGTACTCCTCTTTACATACTTTTGCTATACTGTACTCTACGGTACACTATTAGACACGACCGCTAAAAATACTTGTGTTACTCTCGAAATATGTGTACATTTTGTGCGATATATACATAATTACGGAATAATAACAACTCTAAAAGTTTATTATAAATTAATATATTTATAATAAATAATTTTGTGTTTAATTGAAATTTCTATGATATAAAAAGTTGTTTAAATACACAAAATACAGTATACTTTTCATGTACTAATGTATAGTATATTTATTCTGGTTATAATAGACGCAAAGTTCTCAATGAATTGTGTGGTTTCGCACAAAAACTGTGTTATCAGTGCTTCAATCATATAATTATAACTTATGTTGTATTTAGAAATAATTGTAGAGTTTCTTCTTCTTCTATCAAATAGTTGTTAAATATATGAAACGTATTGAGGATTCAAAAAAGCAATTTTCAATCCAAACGAAAGCTATAAATGAATTCCTTCCACGAAATTGAATATTTATTTCATACATAAATCAGTTGTTTTGTGACCGACTTTCACATCACTGTATAATCGGAGCCAATGCTCAACAAGAAGACCACATATTCAATAAGAGTTACCGAAAAATTATAGTATGTTTTCATTTATCTAATATCAACTAATGCTATATTTAGTTATTAAATACTTGTGAATCTGTTTTAATTGTTGTATAACTTATTATATAATGATTTCGATTACAAAAAGGCATAAAAAAGTATTATATTTTTGATATTTTTATATTATACTGAAAACTTGTCCGATCAGTGATGTCACACCACCACCACTGAAGAACTAATCTAAATCTATTCCCGCCTCTCTCTCTCTCTCTCTCTCTCTCTCTCTCTCTCTCGTTCTAGTTGTCTGCATATGTCATGTCCTTCAGAACTAAACAAATATACTTTATATATAATACTTACTGTATATTATAATTGTATACAAACTTCTATTTAATCTCTCGCTTTGAATGTCAAATCGAAAATCTGTTTTGGAAACGAAAAAATATATCATTAAAAATAATTCTGTCATTACTTTGAATGACAAAAGAGACGATTTTCTCCATTTCCCTCAATTCAACCACTATTTCCACATATTTTTGGGAACACTTTCTAATTGACAATTACTTGTAAACCTATTTCATACACATCTCTGATATCTGTCACAAAAATAAAACTATTATAAGATATGAATTTAGAGAAAATGTATTAATTAACAGGCAATAAATATTTTGTTATATAACAAGTGATAAGGCTTGCCAAAAAAACATGATAAGCTCTCTCTCTCTCTCTCTCTCTCTCTCTCTCTCTCTCCTGATATCTAAATATAAATATATAGTTTAGTCTCAATTTTATATACTTTGTATAAATATAAATAAATGAAAATTATTATGAAAATTCATATCACAGATAACGAAAATTTTAATGTATATATCATATCAATATGAATAGTCATCACAACTATTATTTAATAATAAGTTAGTGAACAGTATTTGTCATTGCCTTCAGTCGACGAACAGATATTAAACTAACGCAAAGAAAACACACATTTTTTCGATAAAGTTATTTTCCATTTATCACTTGAATATACACTATATTTAATATGATTTATTCATTACTTAACTATATTTATAAGATTAAACAATTTTGTATTTTTCTCTGAAAAAATATATTATATAATGAATCGGTGTTTCAATTCAATTGATTGTGACCTTCATTTCGATTCCGTCACTAAAAAGTTTGCTTTCGAGAGAGAGAGAGAGAGAGAGAGAGAGAGAGAGAGAATTTTGCGCAAAAACAGGTCATTTGACAGGAATATTGCTATAATATTTGAGTGAAATATGGCCTAAAAATTATTATCTCTTGAAATATAACGAGCGATAAATTTTAATCAACGGATCATTTATTTATAAAATAAATATTCCGAATAATGTTCTAAATTATATGTTTTAATTGAAACCACTGTTTGTTATAATCGATTAATTTCTACCAAAAAACGAGATTATATTTGCAAAAAAGTATTACTTATTTACTCTGATTTTTATTTAATAGGATTTATATTTATTATTTGTACACAAATTATATATTCACGCGATTTATTTCGCAGCGAAACACATATAATAGTTTGACTAACTCTACAAACCAAATGCTAACTGTTATGCAGTCTACAGTTCTCTCTCTCTCTCTCTCAAAAACTTGCTCTTAAACATTCTCAAACATCAGGGTCACCACAAACACCCACAAGCGTTACGTGATTTGTGAGTATTTAGTTTAGAGGCCAAGAATATCAAAAGAAATCTCTCTCTCTCTCTCTCTCTCTCTCTCCTGATATCTAAATATAAATATATAGTTTAGTCTCAATTTTATATACTTTGTATAAATATAAATAAATGAAAATTATTATGAAAATTCATATCACAGATATGCGATTTATTTCGCAGCGAAACACATATAATAGTTTGACTAACTCTACAAACCAAATGCTAACTGTATGCAGTCTACAGTTCTCTCTCTCTCTCTCTCTCTCTCTCTTAATGAAGTAATTTCTAACTGGAAAATTGACTGCAATTTATCAAATTTACATCTTTAAACACATGCATTATTAGTATCAATAGTATACTACATATTCATGCGATTCTCTATTCGTTATGCGAAACACATGCAAACCATAGGCAACACAACTGGTGATCCCCTTTCAGCTCTGGATGTGTTGGCTGTGTTTGTATTGAGTATTATATGAGTTGGTGTTGTGGACAGTCGTAGTCGCGATTGGGATACTGTGCCAGTGGTTTGTGGTGCGCATGAATCGCACGAATCGCTGGATCCGTCACTCTTTGGGAGTAATGCATTGCTTTTGCCTCCTTTTAAAAGTCTCTGCAAAAACATCATCGGATCGCTTGTGAACTCCACTCCTCTCTAATACTATTATATTTCGATTTTCATTCGGAAAAACTTGTTTTACAACAACTGTTAGTTGTTTTTCGCTCATAAACTCTCTCTCAAAATATTTTCAATTCTTGCGATTGTATTACTAAATGACAGACAAAAATATTTTCTTGTTTTTGTGATTATTTATATTTAGAAGAGTAACGAAATATTCATATATACTGTATATCATTGAACACAGCGAGAGATGACATCCCTGTCCACCGCTACCACCACTACCAGCCCTCAGCCCTCTAATGGCAAGAATCACAGGACTATCACTACCGGTGATAACGAGTTGAATACAAATGGAAATGTGATGTCAAGCGAAATATCATCGGCCGAAGAGACGGGTGTCACGAATCGACTCATGGCTACCGTAAACGACTCGTCAGAAGTACCGGCGCTGAACGGAACGGCCAGTGATAGTGAGAATCCCAACACTAATAATAACGGCGCGAACGCAGCGTTCCTGCAGTTAGTGTCTGACGATAGAGAATATTCTTGCGGTTTGTGTTCAATACGTCCGAAATGGTTGCAACGGTTCGCCAATAAACAGACATTTTTGGCCATATTTTGTTTGACGAGTGTTTTGCAGGGCATGTATTACACATACTTTGTGAGTGTATTGACCACAATCGAGAAACTATACCAAATCCAGTCCAAGACCACAGGTATGATAATGTCGGCCACAGAGATCGGCCAAATCGGTGGCGCCCTATTGCTCACGTACTACGGCGGTCACGGACACCGACCCAAATGGATCGCCTGCGGAATGTTGATCTTCGCCTTCGCCTCCATTCTGTGCTCGACTCCGCACTATCTCTTTGGCAGTGATGTCGGCGCCACTGACTCCTCATTAACGCCATTCACCAGCAGTTCAATGGATTCGTTAGAATCCCTAAACAGTGCAAAACTCCGTGAATATAATACCAAACTCTGTGTCTCTCAGTGGCCGTCATATGCCGCGGGCCTATCATCACTCACATCGCACACCACTTCCATATCGGAATCGCCGTTCTTTCGGACAAACACTTCATCTACTAATTGGGGATCAAATGGTGAACCAATGAATTGGTCGGCAAACAACCAAAGTGTGTCCAAATGTGATCGCAAAGAAATTATTAATAACAAGTCACGCATTACTAACACAGTGTTGAGTATATTCTTCGTGAGTCTTCTGCTCATAGGAATCGGTGCCACAGCTGTCAACACACTCGGCATCCCTTATATCGACGATAACGTCGCCCCAAAGGAATCTCCTCTTTATTTTGGTATTCAATCCTTTTTTGTCATATATTTAATTGAAAATCTATTTTTGGCTTTTTATTGATACAAAAGTAAATTCTTGAACCGAATGCCGCTTTTAATCCCTGACTTATGTCTATGTGTTTGCTATAAAACTGGCGGTCATTTCATTTAATAAGATTATATTTTTTCAATTAGAAAATACTCTGTATTTCTATTGATTTTGAGTTTGAATACAAAAATAGAAATCTATTATTAATAATAAGTGGTAAACAGTTTTAGATCAATGAATTGAATGAATTATAATTATCGGAATATAAATGTGTTATTATTAGTAACAATGCATAGAAACCTAACATTTGATATATTGTTTAGTTTTATTATTTTTGTTATATTTAGTTCACAAAAATAATATTTGTTTTACATTTGAGTGATAAATGTTTGTTATTAACGACTAGTAGTCTAATCAATGCTAACAATGATTAGTATTATTCTCTATTATTAAATGAATTATTGACAAAAACATTACACAATTTAATGTTAATGTTATTCAAAAGTGCAGTTTATGTACAAATCAATAAATTAAGCACATATTGACAACAAATATGCATTTATATATAAAAACAATTAATCATTGGATTCTTATATATTCTTAACCATAGGTATCACTATTGGAGTGAGAATTTTTGGCCCCGTTTGCGGCTTTCTATTAGGATCTCTTTGCACCAGTGTTTTCGTGGAATTCCCATTCGGTATGACATTCAACATATCATATGTATATATATTACGAGAGAGAGAGAGAGAGAGAGAGAGAGAGAGAGAGAGATTAGTTGATTTAATCATAAGTTTTTTCAAATAAATATTTATGTCATATATTTTTATCACACAAAATGTTTTAATAATTCAATGATTATATTAATCGCATTCATGTCTCCGATTGCAAACTCGAAACAATTTTTTAATCCTTTTCTCTAAATAAGTGTTTGACTGAAAAAATAAATGCCTTTAATTTCAGAGTTAATTATATGTGAAATAAGTGTATCTAAAGTGAACCAGAGCTTAGGAGTCGTCTAACAGTTATACTGTTATACATGTGTTTCCAATATATTTAAAGTTATAATAAGTAGCGAATCGAGAGAATCAGTCCAATTGTGAATCACCTAAAAGTGGAACAGTTTGGGACTAAAGAGGTTATGGCATCGCATCGTATGTATGCATGTGTGAGATGTGATCTCATATTAAATGGTAAAAGTGTTGTTGCAATGGGTTTTGTCAAGAGAAACGAGGTCTAGAAAAACTCGTGTTCCCATCGACTCTCTGTTGCTAATCGACTGCTAAATACTAAATACTGTTCATCACATCAGCTGTCGAGTCCAGTTTTACCATAACTGTTACCATACACAACCTCTCTCTCTCTCTCTCTCCTCATCTAAAACATCTTTAATATGCAATAATAGGCACTTCAAGTCTGACACCAAACGATCCGCAATGGATAGGCGCGTGGTCTGTATCCTTACCCCCAATCGTACACTAATTAATTTGAATATCTATATCTCATATATGATTAATGACGGATCAGGTGGTTGGGAGTGTTTATTGTGGGCACATCTCTAGCGCTCACCTCATTCCCAATGATGGTGTTTCCCCGAAGACTACCTCAACCGGACCCGTCCTCCTACTGTCATATACAACAGCAAAACAATCTCATCGAACAGCAGAAGCTATTGATGGCCACAACGAATGGCAAATTTAAGCACCAATTGAATAGTTCTGATCAAAACAACTCCACAAACATTACAATTGACAAACAGTTGTCGGAGACGTTGGACACAGAGATAGCGCTGATTCTCAAGAATAACAGGAAAAATGGAAAGCCGTCTCTCAAAGACTTTCCCACAGCTATGAAACGATTGCTGCGAAACGATATACTCTTGTGTCGGACGGCGTCCAGTGTATTGCATATCCTGCCGATCGCAGGATTGTATACTTTTTTGCCCAAATATCTCGAAAGTCAGTTTCAGTTGACGGCCACCAAAGCCAATATGATATCGGGAATGGCCGGCATTTTTGTGATGGGAATCGGCATCTTTGCCAGCGGTTCGTTTATGCGCAAGTACAAACCAAACGCCAGATTTGTCGCCCGATGGATTGCATTGGCAGCTCTGCTCTATGCCATCGGAATGGTTATACTTATGTTTCTCGGCTGTCCTCTCAATAACTTTGTTGGTCTCAATGTCGACAGGTATTGATCGCCGCTGTCTTTTTCAATTTGCTTGTTATCCTTAACTGTTTGTATGATTTTAGTGAAAACCATGAAAACACATCACTATTGAGCTGTTCCGAAGAGTGTTCGTGTCCTACCGGCCAATATTCTCCGATCTGCACGAGCACTGGCGTCACATACCTGTCTCCATGTCTGGCCGGTTGTACTTCTGTTAACTCATCAAATAATGAAGTAATGCTTGATTTAACAATAAGTGTTGTCTATAATTGACATTTATGTTCACATTTTTCAGTTTATATATTCAAAATGTAAATGTCTTGCGCCGAACGTGACGGCCAAGAATGGGTCGTGTCCTCTAGAGTGCAATAACCTCGTCTGGTATATCGTTATCTTCTCATTCTTTGTCTTAATTCACTCGACATCAGAGGTCGGATCGATGTTACTTACGCTCAGGTATGAAAGCAATGTCTTTATATTTAGTCCATTTCTCACTTATTTTTAATTATAATAAATATCAATTGATTGACTAAACTTTGCATTTGTTTAATTGATTGCCAGATGCGTTGACCCACAGGACAAAGCCATGGCATTGGGTCTTATATCGTTTGCTATCGGTCTCTTCGGTAAGCGTTGAATGCATACAAAAGTTTGGTGATAAATAATGATGATAACTGTGCTTTCCTGTAGGTAACGTTCCCTGTCCTATAATATACGGGGCAGTAGTGGACAGCGCGTGTCTGTTTTGGGAGGGAGACTGTGGTAAACGGGGCGCGTGTCGTGTCTACGATCCGGTCAAGTTTCGGCTCGTGTTTCACGGCGTGACCGCTCTTATAATGTTTGCCGCTTTCATTGTGGACGCAATCGTCTGGTATAAGGCGCCAGAGATTCAGTTTAACGATGACATTAAGCCATCGATGGTCACCAATAATCACAACAAGAATGATAACAACGCCAACGAAGAGAACGCACCGAAACCCGACTCCGAGTCCATACTTTGATTGTTCACATCGTTTGTTAATA